GGCACAAGAACTTGAGGAATTGAAAACTGTAGTGTAGAGAGTACTCTAACTAGAGCCGGTACGAAAACTTCTTCCACTATTTGTTGTTTTGCGATATTCTAAAAACTTTGCAGTCTATTAGATGAACTCGTCCTTTTCTTAAGAAAGTCAGCGAGGGTGGAAAAAGCAAGCAAGCTACAGAAAACTCATCGATGTACTAAAAAAGTCAAAAAACAATGTGATTTCAATTTCCAAAGAAAATATCAAGCGCGGAATTTGCAAGTGACACCCGATGTTCCACAAACGCCTCCCTCTGCTTGCCTTTCCTTACCCTTTCCTTCCTCCTCCCTCTTTCCGCTTACGACCCAAAACTTCTAAAAAATTGACAGGATTGAGTAATCCCTCTAACCTATACTAGTAGTGCCAGACAAAGATGGATAGTGAAATAGAGCCTCTGTTTATGTTAAGTTTATGTGGGCTGAGAGATGTTAGAGGAACCATGCAAACAAGGAAAGTTATGAAATTCTTTCTAGGCAGTAGAGGAAAGCTGGGCCCATTGCACTCCTACCACGTCCACACTCGTAAATTGCACGCTAAGTGGTTTGAGCCAATGAAATCAGTTATTCATTTGCACAAGTTTTGTTTCATCATAATATGCAGCCTAAGTCATCATTATGTTACGACCCAAAACTTTGCAGGAACGGCAGACCAATTCAGCTAATACGGAGATTGGTGGTGGTCGTACAAATACAGTAAAAGTTGTTCTTTTGTACTAAAGCTATCCCATGCAATAATCATTTTTCCTCTTCGATATATCGTTGAGTTGTCGAGGCAGAAATTGGTTTAAGTTGATTGACCTGGTGGGCCATAGAATGACAGCGAAACAAGACTGTGGAAAACTGTGCTCTTTTTTACTCCGAAACAAAAAAAGGACAAGTACACTCTGTAGCATCTCTAAGAGAAATTAAGTCATTCAAAAGAATCATTCAAACTCAATACAGATTTGATTTGAAAAGTGAATAAAATATAAAAGTGCAAGGTGTTGGAATTGTTGAGGTGAGCGGAAGCCCGCGTATGGTATTTGTCTATGGCGAGTGTTGCCTATTGTATATTTCCTTAGTCGCCAAGTAAAACATGATTATCTGACTGTGGCCTACTGTTTGCATTGACGAGTGTAGACGTATAGATTAACACTTCGACTTTGCACTCTGGTGACGAGTAGGATTATGAGATGGGTAACCGGTGTAAAAGGAAGACAGCACAGTTACTATTTTCCCCTGTTTAAGTATTAGAATTAAATCTTAGCTGAGAGGAAATATGTATTTGAATTATTAACTTTGAAAAATTTAAGGACAAGGGCAGTCTGGTAGCGCACAGCATTCTTTCTTAAATGAGTGAGAATAGTATCGATTTCAAAAAAATGCAAGAATGCATAAAATCATGTGTACGGCACCATACCATAGATGTTAAGTTCAGCAAATTCTCATTCATTTTTTCCCTTTGAGTCCAGTCAAAACCTCTCAGAACGACAGTAATATTATGAAAATTATGATTGAGATGAAATTGAAATACTTAGTCGAAAACTTTGCATTCTATGAATGGATGTCGATGAATCTGCTTAGTCAAGCACAAGGATTTCAGTAATCAGAGCTGAGAAATCACATGATGGTTTAGAGCAGCATATTTGCAAGCAAGCATCGCATAATGTATTAAAATTTAGATCTGAAACTAAGTTTAAAAAGCATGAGTTGCAGGTGTGCTTAACAGTACAAAATGGCATGATCGCAATTCCCCAAGTGTAGAACAACAGAGAAATAAGCAAAAAGAGTGGATAATTTTCATTATCTCTAAATTCTCCGAAGGGTAGTGTGAGTAAGAAAAACCAACAGAACGCCGTGATATAACACCACATATTGCACATAATGAATAATGTTTGCACATGTGGACCAACGACTCGCGATGAATGACTTTGTAATGGGAGGTGAAAGTCAACATATGGTTTCGGATACCAAGATGATTAACAAAAGAACATAGAGGGTGCAGAGAGGTGGCCTGGGCTAAGCGGCACAAATTTCAATACGACTTCGCCTGGAAGCGAACCGGTCATCGACGACACACACACCACGTTCACAGTCTCCTCGGCCACAATAGCGAGTCGAACGTCAGCTTCAGCTTCTCAGCTTCTCGAGCAGTTCCCTTTGGAAGGGATGATGATGAGAGAAAAAGTTACCGACAGGCTAGCATAACATACGACGATATTGCGTGTTTAGTCAAAACTTCAGCATTCTGGCGCAAAATCCAAGCTTCAAAAGAGATCGATGCATTGCTAGCCGAGCGAAAACGATCAAGCGACCTGCCCCGCTAAGAAAGCCACTCTTTCTCGCGCATCCGAACCCCGGATATGAGACACAAGCACGATAGTC